GGGGGGGGGGGTGTTCTGCCATCTCCAGTGTGTGACCTGAGACAGAGGTTGGAGAGCTGGCCCCTGCCCCACGTCTGGAGCCCCTACAGCCAGGCTGTCTGCAGCTGTGATTGTGGGGGTCCCTGAGAGGGAGGCTTGGTGGCCAGTGCTGGCTGGGCTTTGATCATGGGGTGGGGCCCTGGTGTGTCTGGGCGGGGCCTCCTGCAGCCTGGAAAGCAGGGCTCCCTCCCCTGTGGCTGTGAGAGAGCAGGGCTGGGCGGGACCTGGGGGGCTGTGAGCACTAAGCCCCCCGCTGTGGGCTCGCTGAGCAGGTGACCAGGCAGCCGGGCTCGTCTTTCTGTGACAGGGGTGCTCACCCCCCAGGGCTTTGATCAGTGCCCCAGGCCTGAGTGGGCCGGGGCCTCCCTGACAGCTGCTGTCTGAATTCCTGATGACACAGCTGGGCGGGGGCTAGGGGGGCTCGGCTGGAGTAACTGGGGCGTGCTGCCCTGGCTTCCTGTGGCCTCCCCCCAGCCTCTGTGCCTGGCTGGCTGTGTGGGGTGCTGGGGGTCTGGTGCATGCCCAGGTCAGCCTCCCCCTTCCTGCCTCCTCCTTTGTAGCCCATGGAGGGGGGCTGGGGGCTCCCCAAGAGGTCTGAGGCCCCTAAGACAGGCAGAGGCCCTAGAACAATGGGCTGCTGGGGCCCGGCGGGCAGGGGCTGGGCAGCCTTTCAAGTTGGGTTAATGGCTCTAGCAGGCACTTCCTTCCCCTCATCCCGGCCACCATTAGTGGCCTCCTGCTGAGTGGAAAAACCAGAGTAATCAGAGCCAGGACCTGGAAAACAGGGGGAGTGGCAGGCCTGGGGGACAGGGCGTCTGGATTCCATCTGCGCCAGGCCAGCCAGCCTGCCAGCCCGAGTGGGGGTTCCTGCAGAGTGTTGCCATGGCCCCCCCTCTGCAGGGCTCCCGAGGCCACCTCGGTGAATTCCCGCAGGGCTGCAGGAGGGAGGGGGTTCGCTAATCTGAACCAGGCTCACAGGCACGTCAGAGGCTCAGAGGCCCTCCAGCCCAGCTGGAGAGAACCCAGGCCTTCCGGTGGCCCGTCTCAGGTAGCTGGACTCGGCATGGCTGGGTCACCCTTCCATTTGACCTGTCTGCCTGGGTGTGGGGGGACAGTTCTGTGGCCTACACTGCCTGGAGCATGGGTGGTCCTGGGGACATAGGTGCAGGGGGACCTCTTGCTCACATTGGACTGGCAGCAAGGCCACCACTGTCCCTTGAGCCTTCCCAGGCATCTGTGGACACGGGCTCAGCCGCCACAGGTCAGGCTCGGGGAGCTTGGGTAGATGGATGAGATCCGCCTTCTTGTCTGAGAAACGGTTGTGTTGGGGAGGCCTTGGTTCCTTTTGTGGTCAGCAGGGCAGCTGGACTGGAGCAGGCTGCCCCTTGGGTGGTGTGGCCAGCGGTGAGCAGGGCGGCCCGGGGCTGGGGAGGCAGGAAGCCCTGGCTCTACACTCCACACGTTTGCTGCAGGTTTGGGCTGGGGGCTGAGGGAGGGGTTCGGGCTGGCGAGGCAACCAGCTGCTGAGGTGGAGACAAGGGGCCTGCATTTGGGACCTGCTTTGCTGGGTTGGCACTGGGACAGTCCTGGGTGGTCACAGCCGGTGCTCCATTGAGGGGCTGGCCCCAGCTCAGACCCTGACCCCTGTAGGGCTGTCCTGGGAGGTGGCGAGGTGGAGTCGGGTGGGGCGGTCGAGGGGCAGGGGATGGGCCCTCCAGTTAGGTTCTTTCTGAGAATCGATGCCTGCTTCTCATTCCAGGGTATCACCTCCTCCAGGAAGCCCTCTCTGACCTCCAGGCTAGGCAGGGTCCTCTAGGTTCCCCTCGCTCCTGTTCTTAGTCCTTTCTGGACACCAGGCTCATGGTCAGGGAGACTTGTGTGTCCCCCCAGTGTGGGGGAGCGGGCGCTGGGCTGCAGGGGCAGCTACCAGTCAGCATGGCTTCGTGATGGAGCGTGGTGGGCACCGAGCCTTGCCTCCCTCCGCCCTGCTGGCCGGCACTTGTGGCCCTGGACTGCCCGGCTCACTGCCGAGTATCATCGTAGGACATTGATGCAGGACCGCATTTCATTTTCCTCCTGCTCCCTCCGGACTAGGGCCGGAGACTTCGCGGAGGCAGGGAGAGGGTCCCCAGCCGCCCAGGCCCGCATCGGCCAGGGCTGATCCGGGGAGGCCATTGTGGCTCTGGAATAGACGTGGCTTTGCACGGGGGCCCTGGGGTGCGGGCCAGCCCAGCCTCGTGGAAGGCCCTGGCGGGGGGTGGCCTGGCCCTGCTCTGCGGCCTCCTGGCGGCTCCTCAGCTGCGTGGCCTTGGCTGTTCGTGGCCGGGTTGCCGGGGAGCACAGATGTCATGTTAGCATGAGCGAGCCCGGTAGTGACGGCGGGAAGGTGGGCAGTGTCAAGGGCACCGCGGGCCACACTGTTCAGTCCGATAATTATTTTCCTGCTGGGCGCGTGCAGACGAAACCATTCGGGGCTTATTAACCAGTTATGGATTACGCCACGGCCGCAGCAGGCGTTGGCTGCAGCGGGGGATGGGGAGGATCCGGTGGCCAGTCCTGGTGCCTGGGCCCTGACCGCCTCTGTCCCTTGTTCCCCCAGGACCCTTGCCTGTCTGCTCTGCTCCTTGACAAGCTGCCGGCGCCTGGGGCCCTGTCATCGTGCCACCCAGAGGCCGAGCGCCGCTGTGACGCCTGTGCCACCCACCTGAACCAGCTCACGCGGGAGGCCCTGCAGCTGCTGCAGGCACCTGCCGGCCATGAGGACCCTGACACCCCTCATGGAGGCCCCAGCCTCACGCTGTCCAGCCCCAGCACTGTGACCAGTCCGAGGAATGGACCGATGGTGGCCGGCGCGGCCAGCAGGCAGCCGGGCCACATGGGGCCGGACAGGAGGAAGGGGCTGGCCTGGCCACCCGGGCCCAGCGTCCAGGTGTCAGTGGCACCTGCTGGCCTGGGTGGGGCGCTGAGCACGGTCACCATCCAGGCTCAGCAGTGCCTGGAGGGCATGTGGAGCGTCTCGAGGGTCAACAGCTTCCTGCCTCCGTCGTGCTTGGTGAGTGCCCTGGACGGGGTGTTGGCAGCTGGGTTCCCTCCTGGGGGCCTGTGTCCACCCCTCATGGGCAGTGCTGGGCTGTGGACCTTGGACGATGCCCCCAGCCAGTCCTAAGGCCGCAAGGTCAGTGGTGGGCAGCGTCCTTTCATGTCCCCCGGAGCATCACATCCATGGCACCAGCACATGTGGCGAGGGTGGTGTGGCCTCTCTTGCCTCCTAGGCCACGCCTGGCACTGCGGGCTGATGGAAGGGCCTTATGGGCTCCTGGGACGAGGTCAGATCTTCATCCTCGGGGCTTGGGGCTGGGGG